TGGCCCATGTGTGCTTTGACAATGTCAGGCTGCTGATTGCTGAGATATGCCTTTGACTGTGCTGCTACAAGACAGATGATACCAATGGAGTTGGATGATTTACCCCATGGACGAACAGGACGTGGTGCTGCTGGTTTCCCTAATGATTCAGACCTGGGACAGCAGCCCAGATGGTGCGTCCAGAGGCCCCTACATCCCTGTGACCTATACAGTGGAGCTAGAGATAAGTGGTACCCCCCATCAAGCCCACCTCCATACCCATATGATCCCACCCACTGGCCGCACAGGAGCTCTTTGGATCCATGTCATTGAACTCCAGACTATGAGAACCCAGGACACAGCTTTTGGCAGACAGCGCCTCCAAGAAAGGCGCCTCAGACCTCCCAGAGCAAGTGGCGAAGCAAGAACAGCCAGAGCAGCCAGTTTGCCAGCAGGTGTGCTGACAGCATCATCTTCTCTGGATGAGGCAGTGGTGCTGGCCTCTCCCTCCCTTCCGGATGACAACAGACAGTGCTAGGAACTGCTGATGAGGATTGCTGTAAAAGGTTCAGGATCTCACCCATGGACATTCTTCAGTCTCCTTCAGGCTCCTTCCTAGGAGGCTCTCCCTAGGCCATTTTGGAGCCTCCTAAGGATATGTGGCACACAGCAGCCGTCGAAGAGGGCTGAGAAAAAATGTTTTGTTCCCTCCAAAGGGGCGGGATATTTGTTTTAAACTGTAACCTGAACTTTCTTGTCGTCTAAGTGGTCATGGAGGAGAACAGACTTCAACCCAAGTCTGCCCCTTCGGACAAGGATGCCGAGAGACTAGATCTCTTCAGCATAAAGAACTTTTTGTCAGCCGGGCTATTATTCCGTATTGTGAGCTACCAAGCACTCGTGTCAAAATATGATTTTATTCATTACATCACAGTCGGAGATCATCAGTTTATTACCACTGGAATGTAGACCCCAGTTTCAGGCTATCTTAGTTGAAGGGAAGCTGGTATCCAGATTGTTACTTCAGGTGTCACTTGATGCACTGGACATGGCTTCATGCGTCAGAGCAACTTCAGTGGTTATGTGGTGGGCCTCTTGGCTGCAGTCCTTTGGGTTCCTGATGGAGGTCCAGGCAACAACTGAAGATCTCCCCTTTGAGGGTAACAACTTTTTAAGTGAGAGAAACTGTCACTTCCTTCCCTTAAGGATTAGTACGCCATCCTCTGCTCCTTGCAATTACACATCCTGGCTCTTCATGTGAAATATTCTAAGTCACTGCCGCACAGATACTGGCCAGTCCCTCAGCTATGCTATTACTAGAAGACCTGTGAGCCACCAAGAAAACACCAGAGGGTGTAGCGTGGCTGACATATTGCACCACCAGCATACCCTCTCTGGACTCAGCTGCCTACCAAGAAAACATTTTGATGGAATGCTCGAGAGCTATCAACCAGTCTCCCTCAAACCTTTTGGTGGCCGCCTGGCTCATTTCCTTCTGACATAGCAGTGTATAATACCAGGCAAATGGATCTTAGACATCATTGCAACTGGTGCATGATTGAATTCCTGCCCTCCCTCCTCAAAAACCCCTTCCCCATCCCTATTCGGGGACACTTCTCATGAGAGGATTCTCAGCAAGGAGCTGGACTCTTTAGTCCAGTTAGGGGCAATAGATCCTGTACCCCCGTGTCACAGGAGGGGGTGGAAGAGCTTTTACTCCAAATACTTTCTAATGGCTGGAGACCCATCCTAGACCCCAGGCAGCTGAACAGTTTCATCTGCCATTCAGGATGATTTTACCCAGGCCACTATAATCCCCTCCCTGAATGCAGGTGACTGGTATGTGGCTCTCAATTTGAAGTACGTCTATTTCCGTATAGATACTATCCAGCGCCGAGGAAATTCCTGCGTTTCACTGTGGGCTTAAAGCATTTCCAGTACAAGGTTTTACTCTGGCCATTTGAAGAATGTCTTTGTCATTGTGAATAACAGGAAATCCTCTACAAGGAAGTGTTGTGCCGCCAAATGGAAGCAGTTCTCCCTATGGCGCGAGATGCATAATTTGCCTCTGGAGGAGTTTGGATTTCCTCTGGTCTTGGACAATGTTTTTTACAGAAGTCATGGCTGTGGTGGCAGCACACATGCACCATCAGTACAACCCTAGATTTCCCTACCTACATGACTGGCTGCTCATGGGATGATTGCTTCAGGAGGTACAGGCATCAGTCACCTTTTTATTCGGCCTGTCATTCCTTGGGATTTCAGGTAAATCCAGGAAAGTCCACTTTAACACCCACAAAAACTATAGAATGCATTGGGGCAAATCTAGACGCAGTTGGAGCCAGGGCCTACTTTACCACAGGACAGATTCCTTGTGATGAGAGATCTCATTTAACTTCATTTCATCCCTCAGACAACAATCTGTCCCTGCTAGGTCACATGGCTGCATGCATCTATATGACCCCCATTGTGGTCTCTGGGTTTGAGTGAGGAAGGTTTGTGCTCCAAGCAGAGAACCCCATAGACAAAGTGTCTCGATTTTCCCCAGTCTCCTGACATCATTCCCCTAGTGAATCAAGAGGGACAATGTTTATATAGCAGTTTGTTTCCATCTGCCCCCTCTTCCTCCCCCCCCTCCCCCTCCCCAGACACTTGTTACAGATGCCTCTGCTGGGCTGGGTAGCACACCTGGATGACCTCACAGTACCTGGACACCAAGAGTCACACTCCACATCCACCTTCTTGAGCTTTGAGCAGTGCAAAAAGTTCCTGCCCTTTATCCGGTCCAGTCACGTCCAGGTCAGGTTGGACAGCATAACCGCTGTTTACCATATAAACAAAGGGGGGGGGACACCAAGGTCCAGCCCACTCTGCAGGGAAACAGTCAAGCTCTGGAATTGGTGCATCCAGCATCAGATCATCCTCTCTGCAGTACACCTGCTGGGGTAATGAACTCCCTAGCAGACACTCTCGGCAAAGGTTTTCACAAGGATCGTAAGTGGGTGTTCCACTCATCAGTGGTCCAGCAGATTTTTCATCAGTTGGGATTCCCATCATGGGACCTCTTTGTAACCCAGGAAAACCATTGCCCTGCCTATTGCTCTCAAGATGCTCTGGGGCACGACTCCAGACAGGATGCAATGATCAGGCCCACTGATGTATGCTTTCCCTCCCATTCCCCTTCTATCTTGCACCCTCTAAAAGATCAAGTGGGACAAGGCAACAGTGATTTTAATAGCGCCATGGTGGCCATGACAGTTCTGGTTCACGATGGCTGTGTAGATAGCCTCCCACCCATGCGTTCACCTGCAGTCATTTCTGGACCTGCTGTCACAGAGCAAAGGGAGGACCAACCATCCCTCCATCTGGCAGCCTGGTTTTTGGATGTGCAACAAGTTTAGAGATTCTTCTCAGAGTAGGTTCAATCCATCCTTCCCAATAGTAAGAAACCTTCTACAAGAAAGTGTTGTTACCAAATGCAAGCAGTTCTTCCTGTAGAGCCAGATGCATGTTTTGCCTCTGGAGGAGTCTGGATTTCCTCTTGACCTGGACAATCTCCTCTCCTCTACTTGAAGTCATCAGGCCTGTCCATTAGTTCGCTATGGGTACATTTAGCCTTTCATCCTGTGGTGGTGAACTGCTTAATTTTCACCCACCCTATACCAGCTATGTTCTTAAGACATTGTCAGAACCTTCCCATCAGTATCAAGATTTGAATCTGATGCTTTTGCAGCATAGGAACCTGCCACTAGATCCCTTGGCTTCCTGTACCCTCTTACTTTTATTGATGAAAATGGCCTTCCTAACTGCTATCGCCCCCGCCAGGAGAGAGGGGGAACAATAATGTAGAGCTCTGGCCTTCTACCTGGACAGGGCAAGGCCCTTTAGAAGATCTCTGTGGTTATCCATTTCCATTGCTGAGAGGATGAAAAAAGAGGAATATCTTCCCAAACTCACTGAATGGATTTCCACTGCATCTTCCTCTGCCATGAGCTTGCAGAAGCCCCTCCTTCTCAGTCTGTCAGGGCTCATTCCACCAGAACTTAAGCTCCCTTCATGGAATGAGATTCCCTGCAAGGAATCCCACTCCCTGAGGCCTGTAGAGCAGCAGCCTAAGGATCCTTTCACATGTTTACCAGGCACAATGCCCTGATGGAAGCCTTAGCTGAGGATGCTTCCTTTGGTTCAGTGATCCTATGAGTTGTGGTGCAGAGCAGTTCCTTGCACCTGCCTCCTCAATAAACACTGCTTGGGAGTCACCTACGGTGAATCTCCATAGGGACCAGTACTTGAAGAAGAAAGAGATTCGTGTTTGAGTAGTGTCCCTATGGGTGCTCCACTTGAGGCATGCATACACCTTGGATCAGAGATTTTTGATAGCAGCACCCTTGTACATCGGCCTCTGAGTGAGCATAGTGCCCCAAAGACCTCAGCACTATGTTTGCCCCAGCCTTTGCAGGAAAAGGCATCAGAAGGTTCAGGGAAGGCCACTAAAAAAGGAGTTTTAGTTCTCACAAAGAGTCCACTTTAGGAAAAAGTCTCAGTCTTTGCAAAAATCAACTGTCTGAGTTCTGAGGTCCCATGCTGGATACTACTGAGGTTCCAGGCTCCTTTGGTTACTGGTAGTACTTCTAAGAGCCATGCTACCAAGTGTACTTCCATACCTAAAACATCCTCAGTACCATCTAAACATGATGGTGATAGCTGAGAGAAACATTCTGCTTCCAAGAAGCTCACACCAACAGACTTTATTAGTATGTAACCTTCAGAACCTAGACATATGACTCCCTTGGTATCCCAGAAGTCTAAACTGCCATCTCATGCCATTTGGTTACCTCCAAAGCACTCAACATTATCGGTACTGACAACTTCTAATGAAAGTGACTTGTTGAAACAGACACCTCCCTCGGTACTGCAAATCCACCCAGTACAGTAGGAGTTTAGACATTCCCAAGACTTTCTTTTCAGTTGAGCCAAAGTGTCATATTCTGACAGACAAAAAATTGCCTTAAGCAGGAGCGATGGAGAGAACATATCAGAACATAAGAGTAAAAGCATTACAAGAATATTGTAATTATCCCCAAAACAAACATTACAAACTCTATTTTAATGTAATTTTTTGCCTGTTATTATGGCGTACATTTCTGGGGAAGGCAATTGAAAGAAAGTATAAAGCAATTCAAGAGACTCTGAACAATCAGGAATATTGATTTAAGATGTTGTGTTTTAAAAGATATAATATCAGACTGGGTGGCTGTTCCTTTTTAAAAAAAATTATGCCACACACAATCCAGAATCTGTGTTAAGATTGTGCTGTGTTTGTTGCTGTTAAGAGAGAGTGAGTCAAGATAAGGTTTAAATCTGACCACATCCATCTTGTGTTGATGCTCTTAATTAAGATATCTCTCCTCCCCTCCCCCCAATCAAGTTTTGGAGAAAGAGAAACTTTTTAGCCCCTACCTTTTTTTCAACATGCATCCTCCTTCGCCTCTTTTGTGCAAGTTGTCTTGTTTTGCAAATACACACAAATTCCAAACATGAAAGCATTGTCTTTGTATAAATCGAATGAAAGGTTCATAGCAACAGTTCTTATGTTACAGGAATAGTTGAAATTTGTAGGGCATAGAAAAAGATTTATTCTATTATTTATTAAGGAAACTTCTTGAATTTAAATGACAAACATTAATTTGATGAATTACTCTTTTTTTAAAATAGTGAGATTTTTTATAAAATCTACTCGTGTGGGCTTTTAAAAACTGGAATAGCTTTAGCTAGCTTAACAGGATGGTTCAGGCATAAAGATTTGATAGCTGATACTAAATAAAAAAGCCCTCTTTTCTCAAAAAGGACACAATGTTCAAAACTGAAAAATCCTTGTTGAATAAAAATAAAGTTGATGGTCTGGCATCATTAATTGTTTTTTGTAGATTCTTGCTTCAGTGATGAATAAACAAATGCAGTAGTAATAATGAGTTCTTAATATAAAATAATTTGATTTTTGTGTGTGTGTGTGTTTTTTTTTTTAAAGAAAATCTACTTAACACTGAATTACTGCATTAACACAGCCTGGGATAATTTGTACGTCAGTTGGAGTATTTTTTTTTAAATGTTTGGTTGTCTTTTCCTTGTAGCAAAGCCAGAAAACAAAGGATATCACAGAAGACTTGGAAGTAGCTATACTAAAAACATGCCAGTGTATGAATGAACTCAAAAGAGAAGTAAGTACAGCTTATATAAACACAGTCTGAAGATGATTTTGAATCTCCTTTATTTTCACGTGTAATGCAAAATAAGGCTCTGACTCTGCAAAGACAAACATCACATTACATGCTATGAATAGTTCTGTTGACTCAGCTGAACACTTTGATAGTCTCAACTTTATGCCTGTAGGTAGTATCATAGAATCTTATCCTGCAACACTTACTCAAGTGAGCAGAAAACAGTGGGACACTTCTAGGAGTAAGGACTGTTTGTGTAAGTAAGTGTTACAGGATCTGATCTATAGTGAATTTCCCAATGGAGCAGTGCTGCTGTAGAAGTCAATTAAAAACTTCTTCATAGGGAGCAGGAACAAGTAGTACATTTTCAAATGCATATATATAATCCACAGAGAGGCAAGGAAGATGAGGTAATATCTTTTAGTGGACCAGCTTCTGTCCCAATTTATGTTTATCTCAGACACTCTGCTTCCTTCCCCAAACCTGAAGAAGAGCTCCTTGTAGCTTGGAAGCTTGTACCTTCCACCAACAGAAGTTGGCCCAGTAAAAGATATTGCCTCATCTACCTTGTGTGTCTCATATCCTGGGTCCAATACAGCTACAACAACACTATATATAATCTTCCAATTTAGTGCCAGATTTTGCTCTTGGATGCATGCATAGCTCTGATTAAAGTTTACTCTATAAAAAGGTAGTACTTTCTTCACAGGATTTTTAAGAAACCAGGAGTTATGTTGACTGGTAATTGTTACAGTATCCACATGTAGTTGTGAAAAATTAATGGCTTTTGCAATTTCTTTGCATTTCACCTATTGCAATTGAAAAGGAAACTTGCTTATTTTCACTATGAAATATATTAAATATGTGCCTTACAAAAACTTTTTTTCAGGTATCTTGCGACAATAGATATTGTTAAAATGCAGCCTAAAAAAACTAGAAGTTAATTATTTACCAAGATTATTGTAGGAACTGCAATTATTCATAGTAGTATCTGACATCCTGCACATTTTTATCCTGAAGAATTCAAAAGCACTCTAAATATTACATACAAAAACTGCTTAAAATCACTTTTTAGGTGCTAAGTCATGATCTTGAACGTTAGAAGTGTCAGAATGTAGGTTGATTTTGAAATCTCAATTCGATCTTTATGTGCATATGTATGATGATTCAGTCTTTAATTAATGATCATGTGCTGGTTTATTTTCCCCCACGGGAACTGTGCCTCGTTCAGTGCACAGGGTGGATGGTGCTCAGTGAATGAGGCAGCTATTTGGTATTCTGGTTTATCCTTATTCAGTGAATGGTCTTATGCCTTGTTTACTGCACACAACTCAAATTCTCCATTGAATACAGAATTAGTGATTTCCTTATGGTCTTTTTTCTGGTGTTCATCACTCTAGTATCTGAATGCCTCACAACATATTAAGGAACTTATCTTCTCAACTTCCTGGGTGATAAGAGAATTATTGTTCCCATTTTACAGTTGGAGAAACAGTGATTTGCCTGAGGTTTACTCCTGGGGGAATTCTGCACCACTTCGCACATGCAGAATTCATGTCCCCTGCAGATTTTTTTTTTCTCCGCAGAATATGGCCACACGAGGACAGGGACAGATATTCCTAACTGAATGGCAGAGGCTAGGAGTCTGTGTGGGGGAGGTTCCCCAGCTCCCTAACAATCCCCTCCCCGCCAAAAAATCCTGTTCCATGTTTCTCCCACCCATAGCCAAGGACCTTCCAGGTTAATTCCCAGGCTCCTTCCCTCTCCCTCAGCTCCTCTGTTACCCCTAACTGAGGTAGGGGTGCAAGAAATAAGTTTCTGTATTGTAGTTTAAATGAATTACTCAAAGTTTAGCAAAGAATCTTATTTGTCAAAAAAACATTTTCTGAATTTTTTGTGTGTGTCTGTATTGTTAGACATATTTGCGGACAGATATTTTAAAATAAATCACCAAAATAATTGAAACTGGCATGATTATATTGTGTTATTTTGACGAATAAAATATGCAGAATTTTGCTGCATTTTAAAATATTGTGCACAGAATTTTTAACTTTTTGGCACATAATTCCCCCCAGGAGTAGAGGTTGTTCTGCAAGTCATTAGCAGAACCCTAATTTGAACTCTGGACCGACTGACTCTCATCCCTTTCCTCATTCCTCCATACAGAGCTGTTGAGCATACACAGCTTCAGTTAGATTTCATTTGCAACAGACTGCTCAACACACCCCAGGTGTGTCAAGTTGGGCACCCAGAAAATGAGGAACACACAGTTAGTAGCCACCTGCCAACATTTTGATGTGACTTGCTCATCATAAGGAAGTCTGTGGCAGAGACAACAATAGAATAGAGTTCTCTTGTGCGACATTCACCTGTTTTAACCACAAGACACCTGTCTCATTCTGTACATACCTGCCTACTTCTAGAGCAAACGAGGCAGGGGCTTGTCCTGCACACAATTCTGACTTATTCCCTGACCGCCATCCATCCTGTGTACTGAAAATACTATGTGATCATGCAGTTAACACCATCTCATAATACATATGCGTAAAGGGGACGGATTTAATTTGCATAGGAAGTAATTGACTTTGCAACCTTAAATAACTTTCTTATAATGTCGTTTTTTAATATTTCCATTATTAGTCTTAAAACAAATTAAAAACAAATTCTGTTTTGTACAAATGTAATGTCAACAGTTTGAACCCTGAACCTCTCAACACTGACTTCTACTGCTTAAGTTTGAAGACTTACTAAATTAACTGGCAGCAGCAGAATAGTTATCCTCCGTAAACCAAACACTAGAAGAGGGTATATAATACACTTACCCAATGGGAGCATGAGAAGCCCTGCTTTATTGACAGTGTAGCCAAGGTCAAAGATATGGCAGATTATTTGAGAGGCAGTGGAGCTAACTGGGTGTCATTGGGTTTGACATATTAGAAATCCGCATTCTACATTCCCAGCTTTTGAGGCCCTCTGTGGGGAATGAAGCCTTCTTTAATGAAGAGTTTGTGAAGGTTAGAACTATTAACACCTCTTAGTAGAAGTGAGTCTAACTCATGCTGTCTTGGTTCCCAGCTGTTTGTGCTCCAGGGCTTCTTATCCTGCACCGTGAAGGGGGTTGGTCCTCTGGGGCCAGGTTCTGGGTCCTGGGTGTGGCTGAGAAGTCTAACCTGCCACACTCTCCCACATCCCCTGCCTCTCTAAATTGATCCATCAGGAGCCAGGCTATTTCTGCTTCTGAGGGTTCCAAAATCTTACAGCAGCCCCTATATTTAGGTTGCCTTAATATTTTCATTATGAAAGATTCAATTTTCAGAAGCTATAATACCTCCATTGTTTAAAGACCACTTTATAAACTCAGTAGGGAGGTTGCTTTCGGGCAAAGGACATGCCTTTTATATAAAGTTAGCTGATTAGTACAGTAGTAGTGGGGGCCTACCCTTAGACTGTTTAGAAATTATGGCACACTGCCAAAATTATGCTGCCAGTCCCTCCTGTGATACAAGCGATATATTTGCAAGAATCATTTTATTAATCACTGCAGTGAACCCAGCTCTGGGTTAAAACATGTCAATATTTAATAGCACAGGGCAACATTACCTAAGAGTTTACAGTGCGAAATGAAGAATACTACAGTTGATTGAAAACATAGCAGGAATTTAGGTAGGCAGAAGTACTGTAGTAAGTTTATGTGAAGGCACTAATAAAAAGGCAAAAATGAAAACCAGACTTATCCCTTCCCACCGTATCTGGGGAGGGCCAGGGGAGGAAGTCTCTGGCCTGGCTGGGCAGCACTGCCGCAGCCTGCTCTGGCGAGCCAGACCGGGCGGCGTGGCTGCAGCGTGCTCCAGCAGCGCAGCCACAGCCTGCTCTGGGGGACGGGGCCGAGCGGCACGGGTACAGCCTGCCAGCCCCGGAGCTGCAGCTGCTTCGGAGGCTGGGGGGAGAGCAGCGTGGCCAGAAGTGAAGAGACTCTGGCCCCGCCTCTTCCCTTCTGGCTGTGCTGCCTCTCCTTGCTCCCTCTGTTGGGGGGAGGGGCTGTGTCCCACCTCTCCCTCTCTATACCCGTTCATAAGCCGACCCCCTTCCCTTTTTTACTAAAAAATTCAGCTTATGAACGAGTATATACGGTAGTTTGTCTTAGCGATTGGCTGAACGAGAAGTAGGACTGAGTGGACTTGTAGGCTCTGAAGTTTTACATTGTTTTGTTTTTGAGTGCATCTGTGTAACAAACAAACAAAATCTACATTTGTACGTTGCACTTTCGTGACAGAGATTGCACTACAGTATTTGTATGAGTTGAATTGAAAAATAGTATTTCTTTTGTTTATCATTTTTACAGTGCAAATATTTGTAATCAAAAATAATATACACTCTGATTTCAGTTACAACACAGAATACAATATATATGAAAATGTAGAACATCCAAAATATTTAATAAATTTCAATTGCTATCCTATTGTTTAACAGTGTGATTAAAACTGTGATCAATCGCGATTAATTTTTTTGAGTTAATTGCATGAGTTAACTGCAATTAATTGATAGCCCTATAAGTAATTGTTTTGTCTTTGACCATTGATTTCTGAGGCGCTAGGGTGCTCTTGTGCCAAGCTTCTCTCTGTAATCATGAGGACTAGAAACTTTTTTTTTTAATTGAGATTTTTATGAACTCCGCTGAGTCCAGCAACTGGAGCTTTAGGACTGTTGCAAGACTCACCGTATGAGAATGACAACAGTGTAGCTATGGCCAGGAGTGTCCCTAGTATTATGACGCCAGTGGATTCCTGTTGCCAGGCAGCTGGAGAAGGAGGATTACTAGGGGCCACAGCTGGTGCGGAGCTGCAGGTCTTCTAGGTAGATGGCCTTGACTTCCCAGGGATCCCCAGGTATCTACCAGGTGGGCCCAATAACATACTGGGGAGACCTGTCCCTGCTTCTGGGATTATATGGAGGATTTTTTGTGGGATTTCCTCCCCGAGCCCCACTCCTGTGGCTTTTTTCCCCCCCCACTGTAGAAGAGGGTGATGTGGGCTATTGTTTTACTCATTTGTGTCTTGTCTTAAGTTAGATCACAACCTGGTCACATTTTCAAGTTTTTCTTTGCAACATTAAGGGTGAGATTCTGATGTCCTGTGAGTCCAGGTGCTGGAATACTAGGAACTGTCTCCAGTGTCTGTGCCTTAATCTGGCTCTGCCTATGTATATGCAGTACACAGTGGAAAAGGCCTTCCACTGTCAGTCGGTCATGTTGGGTTTGGGCAAGAAGAGGGATCACTGATCCTTGTTCACGCAGAGCTGGTGGCCTCAGTACCTTATGCAGCTGGGATAGAGGAGGGCTTATTCCAGTTGCAGTAATTGCCAGGGGGATGCAATGCAATACCTTATAACCTGGCCTGCCCCAACTGCTTTTCTGTCTTCCCCCAAAAGGCTTGAATACTGAGCTTTTTTTGAGAGTGGAGTGGATTTTAGTCTACGTATCTGAGTAGAAGTTTCAGAATAAAGCCCCTGAGGTACAAACATTCTTTGCAGACTTCCTCTGAACTTAACTTAGTACCAGTAAGCTTTTTTTTTTTAATTCCTGCCTCTTGGTCATCTGCTGAATCCACTATCGCTAAAGTATTTTTATTGTAGATTAGCTTCACATGTTATTTATCTTTCAGTGCTTATTTTTTCTTTTCCTTACTGCTACTGAAGCTTCACCATGCAGCCACATCACTGGCAGCAGACCTGCTAAGATACCATGCAGATCACATGGTTTTGAAGGCATTAAAAATCACAGGAGTAGAAGGAAATCTAGAAGCTGTAGCAGAATATACTTGTAAGCTATCAGAGCAGAAAGAGCAGCTTGTTGAGGTGAGTTAACAATTTTATTTTCAAATATATTTAATATAAAAAGTTCCAAAATCTATCTAAATGAACTGTTCTTCAGGGTGTCTTTCGTGTTTTAACCTGTAGAATGTACCTCTGGTGCTACTGGACTCTACATTCTCCTAGAAGATAATGTCTGAGTGCAGCATGAGCTTCCTCACTGCACCAAACATTTGGGGTTCACTGTTATAGAATTGGACCCACTGCCCCACCTGCGCAGTCCCAGTTGCTGCTTGCTGTGGGCACAGGAACCTCATTACCTGATTTTGGGGGGGCCTCTGTGATTGCATATCGGGGCCAAGATTTTCATAATTAGGAGCGTAAAGTTAGGCTCTTAAATCCAGATTTAAACACTTGCCTACTTTCTCAAGAATACTAAACAACCAAAAGCTTCCGTTGATTTCAGTGGGAGATTTTAGGTGGTCATCATTCTTAAAATCAGGCAAATTCCTAAATATGAATTCAGGAGCTTAAAGTTATCCCCAGTGCTTCAGACATAGATACAGCAAAAGCAGATGTTAAAGTGGAAATAAAAATAGAGCACACACACACACACACACACAGTAAGTACTCTATTTTTATTTCCAC